TCATTGTTCTAGGTTTTAGTGTCGCTGATGTAACATTATCGGTCGAAAAAGACAAAATAATTCTCTATCTTCAAGAGTAAAGTGCTCTTTAAACGTTTGTTCTGACAAAACTGAGAGTTGTTCCGGATTGTTCTGTGTCTATTTTCTCATTGTTCTAGGTTTTAGTGTCGCTGATGTAACATTATACGGTCGAAAAAGATAAAATAATTCTCTACCTTCAAGAGTAAAGTGCCTTTTATATGTTTGTTCTGGTGAAACTGAGAGTTGTTCTGGGTTGTTCTATTCGTTTTTAGCTTAAATATGTAATTTGGTGTCAAAACATAATATAATAATAGCGATAAATGTAAAAATACTATTTGGACGCTTAATGCTATTTTTTGCTATATCTTTTTAAATTCTTTTTTAGGGGGATTAATATTTTAGAACAATGTTTAGAACAATTAGAACAATCCAGAACAGCAAAAAAATTTGAATTTTTTAAAAAATGGGTGGCCACAAAAATAAATCGTTTTTTTGCTTTTCCCGTCATGTTTTTTGATTTTTTTGCTCATAACTTTGGAACAATATAGAACAAACGTAGAACAACCTGGAACAACTAAAAAAATATTCAAAATCGAAAAATGGGGGGCTAACTTCATATAGGCCAAATTGTTGGTGCAATTTAAAGCGAACTTTAACTCTTAATCGTGAATCTTAACCGGGCTTTAGTTGCAAAGGTATTTAATATTTATTAAATTGATTTGCGATTAAATTAAAATGCCGAAACATTATTTTATTCGAAGAAACAACAGCTCTCTCATTTCAATTCATATATATATATATATATATATATATTGTTCTAAAACTTTACTCAATTTCGCATTATCGCATTCGCGTCCCCAAGTGCTTGTAAAAATTACGAGTTTTTCCGTAGAAACGCTGCGTTTACGCAATTACTATTTACATCATCCAGGTGAACGCCGCGTCGGATGATTCAGTGACTATAAACAAAACGCTCAACGCATGCATAAAGATACCGAAACTGCATGATGCTATTTTCTTTCTGCTTGTTTTTCCTCGAACAAATTATCGGGTCGCACGCGTTCTCGTTTAATCTCCCTTTCGCATTCGCAGTGTCGCGCACGGAGCGAACTCGCTCCCTTTTTTCAGATCGTACATCAGATCGTTGCCGTATCTTTTTTTCTGCATTTGCCAGCGTCAGGTACACACGTGTACGTGTGCTATCCCATTGAATATGCAATGAGAATGTGCTCGGAAATTCCGCGCTTTTTTTTTAGCCACAGCTTTTCATCTCTTCCTACGCGTCTCTGTCTACTTCTACTTTTTCTTTTCAGAAAGACACGGACCGGCGGACTTTTCCAATGAAGATGTAATTTCTGAAGATTATAACGTTCGCATCCCGACTTGAAAAGAAACGGCGAAGTCTTTGATATTTTTGGAATAGGATTGAAGAAAGTCTCTCTCTCTCTCTCTTTTTAATTTAAAAAAATTATAGTTTAGGTATTAGACGCAAGATCTATATCAATACAGTCAATCATGAAAAATAAATCACGCCATATTGGCTTGAGTAATATAATATTTAAACATTTGTTTTATCTTTGAAATTTTGCCGTATGTTTGTATTTTATGGTGAAATGTATCGAATAACGATAATGGAGCATGTAATGAGATATAAATATCGATATTTTTCATTAGGCTTGTATATTAAATACACAAAAAAAAATAACATCAAAAAGCTACTTGTACGCATTTTATATATCGACTTTCTTAAGTTGAATAGAGAAGTCAAAGCTTGCACGTAACTCTGGAACGCGTGGGTAGTAAAGGATCGGTCCCAGCTCTTTGCCGAGTCCCCGTCGGCTTTGGTTATCGCGGCGGAGACGAGTAAAACGCGAACTCCGAAAACAGGCAGCATTTCTCCTTCGTTATTTCACTAATTGTGACGCCGCTCTCGCCGCTGCCTTACCTTTGTTTTCGACGTGTCTCACTTTGGAATTAAAACATCCGCGTAATTCCAGTGGTCAGTTTCGCTCTTTTCTTCCCCACCTTTTGTTCATTGATCCCTGAGCTTTCTTTCATTTTTCTCAGAAGAGTTCGTGCGAAACTTTGAAGACAGAACTCCTCTGTCCTTCCGCTCGGGGTTAGCTCCGGTACTTTTCAGAAAACGTCGCCGACGGCCGGTCATGGTTTGTTTTACTCCCGAGACTTCTTCCGTAAATTGTTTGCATTTAACGGATGTTGCTACATCCGGTAAATTCAAGACTGTCATCCGGCTCCGCTCGGGCAACAAATCTCGAGTTAATTAACAATAGGGCACCGCGTCTGTTGCACGCGGGCACGAACATCACTGTACCTCTGGAAGTTGTAACGCGTCAGATTTAGAATAATTTCGACCGCGCAACACTGTTATTACACGCAGCAGTTGCATGCAGGCTGCTCGTCGTGTAAGTGGTATTACATGCAGAGTCGCCAACTAACATGCAGTTCGCATTTGTAGTGAATCTGCAGAATTCACCACCGCGGAGGAATCCGGACGATTTATTTCGATACAATTTAGTTTAGAATTAATATACGAAAATATATTATATCGATGATTAAAACGATGTAAGAAAAGCTCGCTTCGTGAATTTTTTTTTTCCCGAAAGAAAATTTCTATCCGAGATACGTTACGTGCGATGTTTTTGCGAGTTTACGTAAAGAACTCGAATTTCCATAAGGAACATGATTCATCGACATCGGATAAGGTCAGTCGCTGAATCATCACTTTGCAGCTTTTACCTTATTCACATCTTTGCACCTTTCCGATAAATCGTGGGGGAATTTTGGCGAACAGAATCGAGGTATTAGGGGGTATTAGCGGGTGTTACTCGAATGGAGCATTTCTTAATTACCATTGTACTAATTCTCTTACTTAGCTAATAGTCTCAGATTTAAACTGTTCGATTTTAAGAAAAATTTACGTTCTCGACCGTCTGCGCGCGAATGTAGCGTGAAAATTCTTTAAAATGATTAGAAATAATATCACTATTAGAAGTTTTTATTTTGTACGCTATTAGCGCACGAATTTTTTATCATGCATGTACGTGATAATGTTCACGTTTATTATATTTAGAAATTTTAACATGACATAACAGAAGAAAAATTTCTACACTGACGAGAGTTAGTGAATAGTTGAAAAGAAAATTGGTTATAAATAAAATCTATTATAGAAATATGCTCGTGTCGATTTTAGAAATACGCGAGGCCTCAGAAGTCTTTCTTCGGCGAACAACGCAAATTCCTTATTGCTTATAGGTATCAATTACAACATTATCTAACATATAGTTAACGCGTGGAATTTTCCTAAGGTGACTTCATCGATATTCAGCACCTATCTATTACTAATGAAAATTATTAATCATGTATCACGCGATCGGCGTGCAAATTCTGACAGACAGTTTACCTGTCGACTTACACTCGACTAGAATGTAAGCACTTGGTAATCCTCAGTTATCTCGAATAGACTTCCGCCGGTTTGAGTGCCGTGGCTGCTGATGCGCGATGGAAACTTGGGGCGATTCCCGCGGCGCGGTGGAATCGCGCGAGTACGTTCGGCAGCCGATAGCCGGCCGAATCCTATTGCCATCCCCTCCGGCTGCGCGCGTTGAACGGGCCCATATCCTGATCATCCTGAGCGTAGCTTCGATACTTGCGCGTTCAACCGCGATTGATTTCACTCGGCCGCGATAGAACACCGCAGAGAAACTATGCTGCAACTGCTACGGCGCATATCCGCGTATATACGGCGCGTTCTTGCGTGATTCGGACTTCATATTATATTAAGATCGTGGCGATAGTGGTAATCCACAGCGAGTGCGAGCGGAACTTTGGCATTTCCCTGTTTACACGATCGCGATCGTTTACATTTAATAGTGTGCGCGAACAATTGAGTAAAAGAATACGTCTTTCTCATTTTGAGAGAAACAATAGGATCGACTGCGGGAACGACTGAAAGTTAATTACAGTATTTTTTACGGTCGCAAAGGGAAAAAGTTTTAATTTTGTCATATCAAAATGATTTACGTATTCTGTTGGTTGAAATGAGCGATCTGCTGTTTTGTTTCATGGACTACGAATTTCGTATACAGAGCCGTATGGCATTTTGGCAACATATCGCGTGGAAGCAATAAAACATAGTTGCTTTAATTAAATTTTATTTAATTGAATTTTATTTGCTTCGTCGGAATTGAGATAACAAAACGATTCGGTTAATTTTAACGGACCTTCTATGCGATGCTTGCAGCTATTTCGAAATGGATTGACGAGAAATTTTTGGCGTAAACTCCCTGGCAAATGGCGATTTTACTGCGTTTTTCCGTTTCCACACGGACATCGGAGCGGAGCATTGCAAATTTCATGTCCACGTGCTTATAAAAAAATCATACACGATATAAAATATGTAGATGCTTGCATATTTACTCTTTATATCATATGTATAAATAAAATATGAAGTAATTATAGATAATATATTGAAATAATTTATTATATAATTTTTATTAATTACATTATTGGATTTAATTAAATATAAATAGTTAGTCATTGACAGCATATTTTATATCATTATTATATTATATTTAATTTTTGATGATATTGTTATTTGAAACGATTAGCGTAATCGTCTATTTTGAAAGATGTTTTTCTACAATGAACTTATATATTCGCATCTCTTTAAACCTTGTCGGAGTAGTAAATTTTTGCCGTAGCATCTATCTAATATATATTTATGTTTCGCATAAAAGAAAAAGGAAGGAAGATAAGTAGAGAAGTTAGGGAAAAAGAGAGAGAATTAGGGAAAGAAGCAGTAATAAAGATAAGATGCTGGAAAGAGTGAGGGAAGAAAATAAAAATGCAAGCCGTGTGACGGAAAAGGGATAGGGAGGAGGGAGCTGCGAGTGCATACGCGCAGGATAAGAACGCGGAGAAAATCAGGATTAAGAAATAGGATAAGGAAATCGTGTAGTATGTATAGCGGCGTGTGGGCAGATAAGAAGGAAGCGAAAAAGGGTAGGAAAGTATACGCATACGGAGTAAAATATGAGACGGTCTACCAGGATTGGCCATCTGCGCGTAGTATACGCATAAAATATTTAAATTTCTCACCAGGATCATCTTGGACGTGATCCAAGATGATGATAAAATATTGATTACCAAAGTGCCGGAATATTTCAGGCGCGCGGTGGACTAAATTATTTCGCGTCGTTTTATTGCAGGAGTTTGTTCAATAGCTCGGCCGATATTTATGCATTAATTTTGTAATATGCGAATAACCGCTACTTCACCTCACCATATAAACTAATATATAAGCGTAAATTATTATTTATCACAAAGCTGTACACATAATATTTTAAGAGCGTAAAACCGCAACGAAATAAAACATGCACGTACATACTTTAGGAAAAATAGTCTTCCACGATGCATCAAATTGTAATTATCCAAAATTACTGCAAGTTATCTTCTTTCTTTTCCGCGCTTAGCAAAGTGATAGTTTGTGTAATACGGACATTTTACGAGCGATCGAAAACGTTCGAACGTGTAAAACGATACAATTACTATCCTGTTATAGCGATGTATTTGTCCTTTTTTTTTTTTTTTTTTTTATTCGATGACACGTACGTGCTTTTAATCGCCGTTCATTCGCTCGAATTAACCGCGGTAATCGCGAGCTGAAGCCAATGGGACAACGGAAGGAAGAGCGCACGAGAGGGAATGAGAGAGAGGGTGCTGGTGGTGCGGAGGGTGGCGGTAGAAATTTCCATAATTCTCACAATTCGTTTCTGGCCTAGAACTCTTGGCGAGGAGGGTACGGCGCGAAAGCGGGGAAAGGCCACAGGGGCGGGCCAAGGGTGGCGCAAAATATTCGCCCATGGCTCTCTTTCATCTCCAGTTCCGCGGCAAAATGCAAATGGTCGCATTGTTCTGTGCGGCGGAACGCCGCTTCTGTACGGGGAAGAAAGGGCGCGATGCGAGGTTGAAATATCGAAATGTCGTTGGTGTTCTTTCGACCGCCTATCTGGGTCGGCGATAGTTTCGGGTTTTGTCTCGCGACAGCGCAGCTGCCTTCGACGCTGCGGCTGTTGCAAGCGTTTTTACGTACGTTCGCGCGGCACAAGTTCGGTCTCGGGGGCGAGGCGACATTTATTATTTGGTCGGCAGCATAGAAATTTTTATACGCGGTTTTACAATACAAGAGCGTAACGTGAAACCACCGGATGTGGTTCTCTTCACTACAGGCTCTTTGGCCGACTTGTCATCAATATTTGCAATCAACAACAATATCGAGACATCTATATTTTACAGTAAAAACCATGAAGAAGGATAGGAAACAAGTTT